CCAGGCACGTCTGACCGCGGGCCCTGCGGGGGGAGGCCGCAGGGGCCGGGCCGTGGCCGAGGGCCCGGAGAGAGCAGCCGGAGCTGCCTGCGGCCTCCTTTCTGCGGCAGAGAACGAAACCGCCTCGAGATCCCTGGGTTTGCACCCGCTGGGGACACGGGGAGGTAGCGCTGGGAAAGCTCGGCACGTGGGTTTGGGGAATCTCTTCAGAAGCGTGCTGTCATCTTTGGTCCCTTTTCGGAAGGTCCTGGGATTGCTGAGAGATTCAGGAGCAGCTTCTGTAGTCCCTTATATTGGGATGATAACGGAAAACGAAGGGTTTTAGTTCCCTAACATAGAGGGAGTGAGTGCCAAGCATTGCCTAATGTGTTTTTCCTGGTACCTGAGTCACGCTAAAGTAAATTACTTTTGTCTGTCTCTAATAATTGAATTTTTCTTGTTTAGCTGGCAAAGAAATACCACCCTGATACGAATAAGGATGACCCTAAAGCTAAAGAGAAGTTCTCTCAGCTGGCAGAAGCTTATGAGGTAACGTGCAGGATTTTATTGCCAGGAAAAGGAGGGAAGACTGGAAGGTAGATGGGGGAGCTATTTTTTGTGCGTGTTTCCTGTAAAACCAGGGCTATTATGCCTTGTACTGTAGCCATGAGTGCCTCTGTCCCAACAGCGTCTCCAGGAAATTACTTAGCCTAAATACCTGGGTATCTTTTGGGCTGTTTGAATTTGTGCCCTTCCTTAGTGGTGAGCGACTGGCATGGATGCTGCGGTGGCGTTACGGGTCACCTTAAACAAACCGACCAGCCTGTCAGCAGTTAGTAGCTGTGTGAGACAGAGGTGCCTTCTGCTGTGCTGCACCCCAGCTTCGCTTCCTCCCGCTCTCCAGCTTGTTCAGAAACCTTCTCGTGCTGGTTTTTGCTCTCGTGGGTTTTCAAATTTACCCCAGTTTTGATCACCAGCTCTTGCATGACATTAGTGATTGGCTATACAACGTAAGTTATTCCTGCTCCTTATAATTTAGCAAGATCTTGCCATTTTCCTGATGACAAGCTGAGAGGTACCAGGGAAGAAAGAGCTCTCTGGTAATTCCTACGCTGCTGAGAGTGGGGTTAGCCCTCCTGATGGCAGGGAGGTGGGGGAGCGTGGGTTTGACGGCATCGTTCGTTTGCCTCGAAGGTATTAAGTGATGAAGTCAAGCGGAAACAATACGACACGTATGGCACGGCCAGCTTTGATCCCGGTGCTGCTGGTGCTGGCGCCGGGCGGCAGTACTGGAGCAGCGGCCCATCGATTGATCCGGAAGAGCTTTTCAGGAAAATCTTCGGAGAGTTTTCGGGATCTTCTTTTGGCGATTTTCAGAATGTCTTTGACCAGCCGCAGGAGGTACGAAGAGCGCTTGTTTTCTGAGTCATGAACCGCCCAGAAGCTGGAGAGGGACACTGGTCTGTCACAGGTCGCTCTGGGAGCGAGCTTAGGCCAAGAGTTTGGTTTTGGGCATGTCAGCACGTGCGAGTCCCGTTGTAGGAGTGGGGGAGTTGCGTGGTTTTGGTGTACATACACCCTCTGCGCCTCCAGAAAGATTATTTTTTCCAGACTTGAGCTACTTCATCTGGTGTTTACTGACACCAGTTGGTGCTGCCAAACAATTCCCTGTCGTAGAGGCATCTTTTCTGCCGTTGATTTACGTATGTCTGCTTTGATCTGTAGTGTTAAAAACCACAAACTACCTTTCATGCTGCCAAGTCGTAGAGGCATCTGTAGAGGCATCTTTTCTGCCGTTGATTTACGTATGTCTGCTTTGATCTGTAGTGTTAAAAACCACAAACTACCTTTCAGTTGTAAAGCAAGCCTTCCAGCGGTAGGTTTGCCTGCTTAATTTGCTTAATTTTGCAATTCAGTTCCCTTAAGTGCTCTCCTAAGTCCTGAGAGTGTTGATTGATGTGCTGCCTTCAGAAATGCGTGGCATTCAGTAACTTCTGGCTTCACTGAAAATGGCCTTTCTGTTATAAACAGAATTTCCCCTTCCGTGCAGTCATCCGTGCTGATTGAGGCTTTATTGAGGGAGAGCTTGGGATTCATTGGGATTGAAAGGCTTCTCCCTCACCTGATGCTGCATTCCCATTACTCTAAGCCTTTAGAAGTAGTTTTCCCTAGGACAGAAAAACACTTGACTTCTATTTTTGCCTCTTACTTTTACATTTTTAAATCTTGTTTCGGCTACGCAAGTGCTCGTCATTCCTGTAATGTTTGCTGTCCTTCTGTACCCATTTTTTATTGATAGGAGACAGATTATTGCCTCTCCCAGGCAGGCAGAAACCTTCTGAATCTGTTTCTTCCCACTCTCTGTTACCTGGATGCATTTTAAACCCAAAAGAATTTCAGTTGCTCAATACCCCACCGCGTGTCAGCTGTAGATGATGTCTGTGTTTTCCTGCACAGTATATCATGGATCTGACGTTCACCCAAGCCGCAAAAGGTGTTAACAAGGAGATTGTGGTGAACATCACTGACTCCTGTGAGCGATGCGATGGGAAAGGACACGAACCTGGTACCAAAGTGCAGCGCTGTCACTACTGCAGTGGCAGCGGCATGGTAAGTGCTTTTTAGGACACAGGTTCTGCTGTGCTTTTCCTCCTTGGGGCTAGTCGGCCCCTTCCACAGTGAAAAATTCCTACTATGATCATCACCTTCTCTTGGGTGAAGCCGAGTTAACGTGGACTTGATGTTAATAAGCAGTAGGAGTATTTTATTTGAGCTGGCAGTGCTCTGCCCAGCTGAAAGCAGTAACCTTCATCCAGCAAACCGCATTTATGTAATGTAGCACTTCTGAAATTGCTGGGGCATTAAGCAGGATACTTTGAATGGGGGTGGAGGGAGGAAGAAGGTGATGATTGCCTAAGGGTAATCATGAATTAAGGTGATGCTTGTTACTTACAGTAAGTGATCATTGAGCCTCAGGGTTTCAATTTCCCTGCATCAAACTGCGTACCAGCCATTGGGCTGTGACCAGAACATCCTTCTGCACCGAGCAGGCCTAATCGGTCAGAGGATACTGCCAGCTCCTCCCGCTCTTTCCTCGTGTGCTTCAGTCTGGCAGGTGGCTTTCACAGTTCAGTCCATAGCTTAGCCTCCCTAACTTTTTTCTGGATGCCGGCAATAATTCACACAAGTGGATTGTCCGTGGGTTCCCCGGAATGCAGCTGTTTGCAGCTCCTCGTGAAGGAGCACCGAGGAGCCTCGGTCCTGCTTGCGCGTTAGGTCCTAGAGGTGAAGCATCGTGTTTCCCGACGTCGCTCACAGTAGCGATGGTTTGCAGTGGCGACCAGAAGGCGACGGCGCTTGAATCTGATCCACCTTCTCACGAGCAGCATCCTCCTTGGATTTCTGAGCCAGCTTTTTGCTCCACCCCTTGCTAAAGGGTATCGCTGTCCTGTCGGGTTGTACGTGCGGTTAGAGGGACTCGGGTGTGCGGGGCCAGGCACTGCCAGCCTTCCGTGGAGCTGAAAACACGGGCTCAGTACTAACTGTTTGTATGATCTGTGTTTCCTTCGCCAGGAGACGATAAATACCGGCCCGTTTGTAATGCGATCCACCTGCCGACGATGCGGCGGCCGCGGTTCCATCATAACAACGCCGTGCGTAGCGTGTCGAGGAACGGGGCAAACCAAACAGAAGAAGACAGTGATGGTTCCTGTGCCAGCTGGTTAGTGGTGTGCTTGCTCTCTCTTAAATAACCGCAGGTAGTTGCTTCCTCTTGGCCGACAGCAGGGCGCTGGCCTCCAAAGCACGGCTGGTCCCTGCCAGGTAGGAGAGAACGTAACAAGTTTTGCTGCAGAGAAGTTAGAAGGGCAAAGCGGGTTGAGAGTTGGCAACTGCGAGGACTGGTAATGAGATGAACTTTCTGGCCATGGGTATAAACGTTTGCGGAGGGTTTATTTCTTGCATGGATCCTTCTATGCAGCTTTTAAAGAGTGAAACTCAAAAGGTGGTGTTGCCTTGAGCCTTGTATTTGTCCCTGATGAAGCCTGGGTAGAGGGTAGGTATCTCAAAAGCCTTAGCTTGGCTCAGAACAGCGTGCTGGTGGCCTTCCTCACCAGGGAGGGCACAGTGAGTGGTGGGCCTGAAGACTTGCTGCTTTGAGACCACCCTGGATGAGCAGCCTGTAATTTTCCTGCAGCTTGTGGAGGCTTTTCCTTAGCCTGATGCATTTCCCAAAAGGATTCTGTAGGGATTGATGTAAAGAGCCTGCTTGGCGCACAGTGGTCACCTCAGAGGGGTAAATGGTGCCACCTCCTCCCTTTGGCCACAGCTCCCGGGCTCCTGGAGAGTGCTGCTGCGCGGGTAGGTCTTGTGCCCGTGCTCCTGGACGTGCGGGTGCTGCTGTGGGGATCCAGGAGTTGAAGGTGTTATGTAACATGGGTTATGACCGAGGTAACCTTCCTCCTTTTTTTCCTGATGGCAGGAGTTGAGGATGGGCAGACAGTTCGGATGGCAGTGGGGAAGAAAGAAATTTTCATTACGTTCAGGGTATGTATTGTCCTGTTGTTGGCTGCTTGTTCCTGTTGCAACTGCCTGGGGAGTCCGACCGAGTGGGGAATGGAGGAGGAAGAGCGAGTGATCCTTTGAAACAGCTGAGGGAACATGATCCATGTGAACTTTCCGAGCTAGCGGATCACCCGCATTGTAATGAGCGGTATAACCTTGTCTGCCCAGGAAGAATTGTGCCGCTCCTTCCAGGGCGAGGCTGCGTGGTAGTGCGCATCAGAATCAGCGCAGGCCCTTGGTGCCTCGCAGACGTGTGGTGGGAGCACTGAGGAGGGCCTGGGGGCGTCTGGCTGGCCAAATGCAAGTGTCCTACAGACACATGTCCAGCGCTGCTTAGCTCGTGTCTGTAGCTGGGGCTGCCTTGTGTTGGTATCTTCCCATATGCGTCTCTGTCAAGGAGAACGTTTTTCCAGTGCCTTTGTTGTGGTGCAGGAGGATTTAATGCTCTTCGAGCTTGTGAGGCCGCAACAAAGGTGCTTGCTTCCCTCTTCTCTCCCGGCTTTCCCCTGTTCAGGGTAGTGGGCAGGGCAGAATCTCCTCTGTCTCGGCAGAAGCATACTGACACCGATAAATTAACAACAGGATGCAGGGAGGGAGTTGCTGAGCTAGGAGATTCCCATAAGGATTCTTAGGGTTCTCCTAAGCTTCTGGCTAGTTACAGTTATGTCAAGAGCTGTGTTTTTCTAGAAGACTGAACATTAACTTATGCTTAGCCATGCAGTTTGTGGAAGGTAAAGGGTCTCCCTGCAGCATTCTGGTGTGTTTTCTTCTGAGAGCATTCAAAGCCGTTGGCGGTGAGAGCTGCCTTGTGTTATGCCCACGTGTCTTTGGAACTGCCTGCCTTTTAGGTTCAGAAGAGTTCTGTGTTCAGAAGAAACGGAGCAGATATCCACTCGGATCTCCTCGTTTCGATAGCACAGGCTGTTCTGGGAGGCACAGCCAGGTGCCAAGGCTTGTACGAGACAATCAATATCGCAGTAAGTACCGCCATGTGGAAGAGCCGGGGCGTAAACCGCTGTGGGACGGCAGAGGCTCCTCCTTGGCCGCAGAAATGGTGCGAGGCTGCCAGTGCTGAGTTTCACACCGCTTAGACCTGAGCGTCAGGTCGTTAGTGACCTGCGCGCTCGCACCTCCCTTCCTGTCGCCGCGCAGGGATGGGAAAAGGGGCCGGGTGGATTGCGGGACGGATCCCCTTCAGGGTCTGCAGCCTGCGTGGGGTTCTTCCCTTGTTCCTTCGAAAGCTTTTCCGTTGTTTTCCTACCTTTGGACGTGTCCGGGTGCATGGACGCGCCAGGTCTCTCCCGTCCGGCTGTGAAGCTCGCTGGAGACGTCGCAGTTACCTGTCTGTGAAAATTAACTACGTCAGTGGTTGAACTGGAGTAATAAACGTGTCCCCTCCGTGTTCACAGATACCCCCTGGCATTCAGCCAGACCAGAGGATTCGAATGAGCGGGAAAGGCATTCCCAAGGTTAACAGTTACGGCTATGGAGACCACTACATTCACATAAAGATAAAAGTTCCTCAGTGAGTAGAGTGAACGCAAGTTTCTGTGACATCTTGGATGTTTTCAGAAAGATTTTGTGAAATTTCCGTTCTGCTTTATCAAAATGATGAATTCCTCACTCTGCTTTTTCTTCTAATGCAAGGTACTTCTTTTCTAAATTACTAATAATATCATTTGGCAACCCAGCTCTAAAAATCCTAAACCCTGGAACTACATAAGTGGCTCTGCACCCGCCTGCTTGCCTGGCTAGCTGCGATTCCGCCTGGATCCCGGGTGCATAAATTCAGCGTTCCGGCTTAGAACGCGTCTCTGCTCTCACACCTACAGTGTAAAGCAGCCCAGCTCCGTGGCAGCTGCTTTTCAGACTGCTTGGCCTGCCCCTGTGGCAAAGGAAACTGTTTAGCGTGTGTTCTGCACTCGCAGGGGAGTTCATTTCCCGAGGTCTCCCCACCGGCCGCGTGTCGTGCTGCAGCTCCAAGGCCGCGGTCGGGATTCTCGGTGTACGCCGGGTGGATTAATCCTGGGCTCCCAGTAGCTGCCACTCGCGCGTGCTGCTGGAGGGGGGTGAGGAGGTCTGTGGATAGGTGTGTCCCCAAAGCCAGCTGTAACCAACACCTCTGCCTTCGACCTGCAGGAGGCTGACGGATCGCCAGCGGGCCTTAATGATGAGCTACGCCGAGGAGGAGACGGATGTGGACGGCACGGTGAACGGCGTCACCAACACAGCGTCAGGTGAGCGGTGGGGGTTAACGCTTCTTCCTCGGGGAGTTGGCGTGGGAGTGCGGAGCGCTTCCCGAGGCTTCCTGCAGGGAAGGTGAGCCAGGGTCACAGAGACAGTGTGCCAGCGTGGTTTCAGTGTGTGTTACTGGGCTGTAGCAGGGAACCACCGGTACCTCTTCCCGGAAAGCTTTACTGGGCACGTCTGCGTGCACAGAGAGCAGGCGCTGAGGCGCTCGGGGTCCTGGCAAGCTGGTCGTCGTGCTGTGGTGATGAACGCCGCCTGCTTCTGCCCCCGTGCCAGAAGCTCTTGTAGCAGAGGTAGGAGAAGAGAGCCAGTTTTCTGCGTGAACCTCAGGCCAGTTTTCTGCGTGAGCTAATCCGTTCCGCTTCTGACCGTGGCGGGGCCGTTTCTCCTTGCGAGCTGAAGGGAGGTACTGCTGTCGAGGCTGCCCTGAGCCACGCTCCGTGCACACGGGGGGTCCGGATGGGAATGTTCGCTGGTGTCGGTCAGTAGGCTGTCGTGATGGAATAGTCAGCCGGGAGCCTCGCAAAGCTGCTCTTTCAGCTGCAGGTCAAAAAGTTTGATACAGCGGTTAGGTGTGTCGGGTTTCGGGAGTGAGGTACCTGCCGTCAGCACCAGCTAAAGGCAACACGTGTGGTAGGACAGTAAGGCAGCAGCTTGGCCTTTTGCTGCTGGAAAACAGTTTCTTCTTTGCTCTTATTGGAACAATGAACTGCTTAAAGCTGGTCGGATTTCTGCTGGAAACCAAAAAGGGCATTTATGACAGCTTACAGCCGGGCAAAGTTGAGGGTCTCTCAAGGCCACGGAATGATCCCGGGAACTCAAGTGCCGTCTGTGACAAAGCCGGAGGAATAGAGGCTGAAGTTCAGGATATTGGAAGGCAATATCTGCCAAATACTTCCCAGTGTTAGGTTTTATAGTGCTTCCACAAGACAGGAGTGATGACTTTCACGCTGAGGGTAAGCATTCAAGGGCAGCCTTGGGGGAAGGGCAGAGATCTCTAAGCACAAAACATTTCATTTCAGTTCTTTAAAGACGTTTATGTGGCAGAGATAAAAAACGCTCTCCAAATGGGTTTTTTAAGAAGTAAACC